TCTGTTCTTTGTTAAAATAAGCCTGTCCTTGGGAGAATAATTTGAACACAGGAGTTTAGTGAAATTCTGAAGAGTTTACAAATTTTGTTGACATAGCTGTGAATATGTCAACCCAAGTGAAACCTGTAATTAAGTCTGACTGTTTTACTTGTAATCTGTTGTCCTGAAATCGACATTTCAGTATTCATAAGCTGTATCAATGTTTGAAGGATTTCTCTGTCACACAATAAGGCAGCCTTTGGCACTTACCTTCACCTACATACATGACGAAGGAAACAATACAAGTCCATACCTACCATATTTCTCATTGTCCTAAAAAGACTGAAAATCTATAAACTCAACACTCATCTTTATTGAAACTTACGAAATAAGCACCTATTTTTTATATTAAAAGATTAATTAGTCATCACATTATTAGGATTCTTGGAGCCTATATAATAATCATAAACAGCACAATCACACCTAATATGGCTTTGACCAAACTAGCAGGCACCAGAAAGCACAGCCAATAGTATTTGGTTTGGGGCTTTCCTTTGGCTGCTGACAAAGTTAGCACAGAATTACTAGGATGTCAAAGGAATTTCTTAACTAGCCAGAAATAAGTTTTGGAAGAAATTGAGACTTTGAGCAATCATTCAGAGAAATCTTGGTGTGAACTGTATCTTCTACTCAGTTTTCACTGAGATCAGGATGTACAAATCTCACACTGGCTCTGATCTACATGTCTGAAATTGTAGAAGGTACAGACTGCTGTGTCACAGACTGCTGACAATAATGTAAATAAATGTGGGGATGGCAAACAGTAGTCTTCCATATGCCTGGGAGTGAAACTGAAAAAAAACTGTACAGTGAGACACAGAGAGTTGTCCACCACTGTGGTAGTTTTATGTGTCAATGTAGCTAGGTAATAGTACCCAGTTATTCAATTAAACACGAATCTACATGTTGCTGTGAGGTTGTTTTGTAAATGTGGTTAGCATCTACAATTAGTTAACTTTAAATAAATCAGATTACACTCAGTAGTGTGGGTGGGGCTCATTCAATCAGTTAAAAGCCTTAAAACAACAACAACAACAACAACAACAACAAAGGCTGGGTGCTGTGGCTCACTCCTATAATCCCAGTACTTTGGAAAGCCAAGGTGGGAGGATTGCTTAAGCCCAGGAGTTCAAGACCAGCCTGGTCAACATAGTGAGACTTCATCTCCACACACACACACACACACACACACACACACACACAAATTAGCAAGGAGGCTGAGGTGAAAGGATGGCCTGAGCCCAGAAGGTCAAGGCTGCAATGAGCTGTGATCGTACTACTGCATTCCAACCTGAGTGACAAAGTGAGACCCTGACTTAAACAACAACAAAAAACCCCCAGAATCTTCCTCAGGGAATTGGAAATTTGTTTCAAGACTACAGCATCAGTTTCTGCCTGAGACTTTCCAGTCTGCTGGCCTGCCCTACAGGTGTCAGATTTGCCAGTCCCCACCTGCAATAATTAAGCCAATTCATATACATATATGTGTGTGTGTGTGTATATATATAATTTACAAGTTCTGTTTTTCTTTTTCAGACAGTTTCTCTAACTGATAAAACCACTGAGGAAAAGATCGGACACTGGAAGTAACTCAGAATAAAAGACCCAGTAGAAAGATTTCCAAAAACCAAATGAAAGCATTTTTTGCAGTGAGTAGGGCTGAAAAATTTGAGGCAGCCAAGAGACACCTTCAAAACTTCCAAAACAATCGATTTGTGGGGTACATGTGAGAATTTACTACATAAGTAAATTGCATGCAGGTGGACTTCTAGCAGGAACTCTCTCCCCAATAGTGGTCCTGATACCCAGTGTGTTCCCTTATGTCCTCCATCCCTCCTCCCTCCCTCTCTAACCTCCAGCAGGTCCAGTGTCTGCCAATTCCACCCTTGTGCTCAGGTGGTCAGTGGTCAGTGATCAGGGCCCGCTTTTAAGTCAGAACATGTGGTATTCCATTCTTCAAAACAAGGTTTCTATAGACAAACACTGAGGAGAGTGAATGTGGACAGAGCCTCCAGCCAACTGGGCTAAAGTTCATTTTAGAGGTGCAGGATGGGACCTGTGACTTCCAGGGATGCCGAAGGATCTAGCCTTCTCATCCCGGTATGTGGTGTGGAGCTGAAGGTACCTCAGTTTGCTTCATTTTTGAATCGTCAGGCACAGTTGCTCATGTTTCCAAACTCCTCTTTCAGAACAGAAATCTACTCTTGCTTTTAATGGGAAGAGGGTAACCTATGAACTTGGATGGGAAATTGTTTATTTTACTAAGATGTTGTTACTGAAATGCTGTGCTTTCTTCCATTATGAATATAGGCAACACACAACAGTGGTATTTCAGTCCTCATAAGTACTACTAATGAAAATCACAAATATTTTCACATCAAAATATAGTTTTTTACAAATGTCTTAAAGTATTATTTATGCTCATTGCTGCTTTGAAATTACAGTATTGGCTAGGTCCAGTGGCTCACACCTATAATCCCAGCACTTTGGGAGGCTGAGGTGGGAGGATTGCTTGAGGCTAGGAATTTGAGATAAGCCTGGGGAAATTGAGACCCACCACCACACAAAAATTACAATGTGTAATTTTTCTTTTCCTCACTGGATATTTTTTCTCACTGGATATTGTCATTTCGTGCATTAATAAAGAGTCACAAATATTACTATGGCATACTCTTAAAATGTTTTGGCAACATATTTTTACAAAATTGGTTTCATTTTGAATTTTGATATACTTATTTACTTTGTATTTAACAGTATTATGCCTTGAGGGTCTATAGTACAAAACTTGATGAGAAGACACCTACTCTATTGTCTAGGGAGTAATTTGTAGCTATGTCTACCTTAATGTTCATGCAGAAAGAGCAGAATATTTTTTGTAAGGGCTGTTGAAACCTTATGAACCGAAAACAAATGTTTTCTAATCTTAACCTGTATATTCTCAATATCAGGCAGTTTTACTCCTGTTTAGTAGCTCTTATTTACAATTCTTACCATGCATGGGTTTAATGATTTCCTCTCAGAAATATAGAGAGACTGAAACACACACATAGGAGACGTTTGTTTGCTTTCAAAGTAAATAAGCGAATGCGTTGACGATGTTCCTTTTACAGATGTAAAATTCTGAGACGTAGGTCCTAGGGTAGGAGCAGCATGCGGTGAGAGTGCCCGGCATTATTTTGTTTAGTTAATATTTGAAAAAAAAAATTTTTTAAACAACCCACAGAGAGACAAGAAAAAAGCCTGATTATGCCACTCTATAACGGCTTCCAATTTCCTAACAGAGTACCTGCCAAAGTCCTTACAAGGGCCTACAAGGACGGATATGATCTCTCAGATCTCCTATCCGTCTCCACTCAGCACTGGTCTAATGAACATAACTCCCAAGTCCTCTCCCACTTCCAGGCTTTTCTCCTGGCGATTTTCTGTGTTCCAGATCACTCTTTCCTCCGCCTGACATCCGTATTTCTCATTCACCCCTTTCAATGCTGGGCTTTCCTATCCCTTTTACCTGTTTGTGCCCTGCCCCCCAGCTCTTATCATTATTATTTGATTTAATCTTTAGTGCTTTATTATTTGTCTCCGCCACGACCATGTAATCTTGAGGGCAGGAGTCACACGTTTTCTTCGCCGGTTTATCTCCAGTGCCTTAAACGGGAATATCGGTTGAATGAATGCATGAATAGAGCGGTGATAGCAGAGCAGAGAGAATGGGGCGGGAAGTAGAGAGGGGCTTGCCTTTCGCCGCCATTTTTCAGCAGGCAGAGGCAGACCCGGAAAGGAGTAAAAACAACAGGGCGTGGGTAAAAGTGGCCAACCGGGAGTCCACTCGAGACGAGCCTAGATCAGCCAGACAAACGCAGTTCACAGATTTAAACCCAAACATATACAGAAAAGGCCGGTGCCGCCGCCTGGTTTCTTGTGAAATATCTCGCCGCCAGATCGCTGATGTGCAGGGCCAGTGGCGCAATGGATAACGCGTCTGACTACGGATCAGAAGATTCCAGGTTCGACTCCTGGCTGGCTCGGCGGGTGGCACCTTGTTTTGCTTCTTTCCTTTCTTGATTCCGCGGGATTTCAGTGGGGTAAGAAAATTCGTGCACAATACAGTTTGCTTGGAAGTCTCAGAAGCAGGAGGGCCCGGCTTTTGACCACACCTGGGGTTAGTTTCTCTGCAAAGCAGATTCTTGCATCCAACCACGTGGTGGCGCCAACTCAGCTAGAGAAGCGCTCGCCGTCCTCTAGTTGGGCCCAGTCACGCCAGGACAATTCAGCTGAAGAACGATTAAAGTAAACTATTAAGCAAAGGGGAAGACATTAAATCTGGAGATTTAGACTGGGCAATAATAGTGGAGGCCGTTCAGAAAATTTAAAGTCTTTATTTCGTTCTTCCCCATCCAGTCATTTGTAGAATAAATTATTAAGGACGTCTTGGTTTCAGGTCTGAACACTGCAGGAGCTCAGTCTGCGCTTCTCTGTGGTTTCTTTGGTTTGAGAGGCGGGTAAGAGACGCATGCGTTCACCAACATACCGTATTTCTCACAAGGTGTGTTACAGAGGGAGAACCACTGGCTCGGGAAATAACTTGACAGCGGGTTTCCGTAGTGTAGTGGTTATCACGTTCGCCTCACACGCGAAAGGTCCCCGGTTCGAAACCGGGCGGAAACAGCCTCTCTCTTTTCTTAGTGTGAGTTTTATTCCTTGAACGTGTATTTTCATGCCATCTTAAATATACTTCCTTTTCCTGTCTTGCTAGCTCGAGGTAACGGTGCTGCGGCGTCGCTATTCTGAGTGGGTCTGGGGTGCGGCGGCCGCAGAGGCACACACACACGTATCTCGAGAGGAAAAACCGACTTTCCGGGGCTCCAACGCGAGGCGGCCCGCAGCCCCGGAAGCGCATCCTCCCCTTCGTTCGTCTTCCTGTGCCCGGCGGTGCCCGACGGTGCCCGGCTCCGCTCGGCTCCGCTCGTCTTCACGCCCCAGGGTCGGTGCCGGCCCTGCGCAAGCCGAGGGCCTCAGCGCGGCCCGGGCCGCAGGGGGGATTCTCGCACCGCTCGGGCGGCTACGAGACGGGTAAGTGGGTCGCAGGCCTGTGTGCTCCTCAGTGGCGGTGGCAGTGGGGGTGGTCCTGCCGCCCTCCATATATTTGGGGCCCTCCTGCGGTCTGACCCTGATCGTGATCAGGAGCCTTGTTTTCCCATCTCCAGAATAACTGCAGCGTCTCTGAGTCCCGAGTGTGAATCTCTGGGAAAGGCGGAATCTGCGTGGGGGGCTTCCAGAGATATCCGACACTCGATAGAGGTGAGAAGTCCCTGTGGGCGCTCCAGGGCAGATAAAAGGGAGGAGGGGGGAGGGGATTTGAGAAGATTGAGCCCAGAGGCTGTGGCCTTGAAGAGGTCGTGGCGGGCGGGTTGAACTGGCCTGCCCTGGACTCGCCCTCCCTCCCCAATTAACAGGGCGTCACCTTCTGGAAACCCTCATCGAGGAGACATCCAAGGGCTGAGTCTTCCTCCACTTGACCTAATGCTCTCCCCGTCTGAAAGAAAAAATAGATCCCAAAGTTAAGAACTGAGGATGCTGCACTTTGCCTTGCCGCTCAAGAAAAGACATTGTCCGCACCTGTTTAGCATCAGGTCTTGCTCAGTGGTATTTAGTCTCCGACCTCTGCCTGCACAATAGGACCAGTCAAAGCTCCTATGGGAAAGAAGTCTTGATATCCCACCTGACTACCTCAGGTGTATTTTCAGCATTTTCTTTAGATGGATTATTTTTCTAAGAGTTAGCCAAGCCTAGCCTCTTGGTCACATTGCTACAGGTTCCCTCAAATGAATGATATGAATGTGTTTTTATGAACATAAGAAAAGGACAATTTTTATTTAATGAGCTATTTTCTTTTTAACGTTTTCTTAGATAGGCTGCTTGAATAGGCATCGCCTTTCCCAGCCCTATTACTTCTTTAATTTCATAACTTCTCTGAAAGACTCATGATTTTACCATCATGCTGGTTCCCTTAACAAGATAATATCTCGGTTAGTAAGACAATAAGCTTGTGCATGTTCTCAACAGCAATTTGTCTAATACATTTTTATTTAAAATCTCCTCTATACAACCCAGAAATACAAGTTAATGTTGTGCCCTGAAAGAAAGCAAAGGTCCCAGGGGCCCAGGTGGTGACAGGGATTTATCTTCCATCTTTCTCTGTTGCCAGTGGGCAGGAGTACTTTAGCCCAGAAGCTGAGTGTGCCCCTAACCAACCTTTGCACATGGTCAATAGTTTCTTTGGGAGCTTATGCCTCACTCCTCCTCTTTAAACCATATACATTCTGGCAAGATGCAGCAGCTGCCCTGCCATTTTAGACACCCTGCTGTTTTTCACTTTTCCTTTTTACCCCTGCTCCCCCAATCATTCTCACTTAAGCCCAAATGGATGTTCACCCTGTGTCTGTAATATTGTGTAAGATGGAGAACAGTTAGGCCCCAGAGAGTGACTGACACCTTATGACCTCTTGCTCCTGTAGCACACTGCATTTTGCATATGAATCTTTTATTTTATTTTAATTATATTGTTTATTCTCTGCTTTCTAAGTTTGCTGTTAATAATCTTTAAGTAAGAAGAGGGAGGAAGAGGGCAGTCTTCTGATTTTGGGGTGGTATTGAAGCTAAAATCCAAGTTAGAACTATCTCCCAGAAACCCAGCTTATTATCCATCAAGGATGCTGCTAAAATGTGTTGCTGGAGATGGAGGTGGGAGTGAGTATTGGATGAGGTGGGATTTTGTCCATGGACACCTGAGACAGACTCATGAAAGAAAGAAAAAACGGAAATAAAGATTTTGAGAGCTGAGTGAGGCCTCAAAATTAGTCTAATCCAAGATGTGTCCCAAGTCACTAAATTCTTACCCCATTCCTTCCTGTGTTATTCTACTAGGGCTGCCCTAACAAGGTACTACAGACTGGGTGGCTTAAACAACAGAAATTAATTTCTCACAGATCTGGAGGCTAGAAGTACAAGATCAAGGTGTCAGCAGGTTTAATTTCTTCTGAAGCCTTTCTCATTGACTTGCAAATGACTGCCTCCTCACTAGGTCCTCATATCTCCTTCTGTTTGTTATCTGTTTCCTGATCTCTTTCTACAAGACCAATCATATTGGGTCAGAGTGCACTCATTAAGACCTCATTTTACCTTAATCACTTCTTTAAAGACCCTATTTTGCATTTTATTTCACAGTATTTAAAAAAAGCTATTTCTAGCCGGGCTTGGTGGCTCAGCCTGTAATCCCGCGCCTTTGGGAGGCTGAGGGGGGTGGATTGCCTGAGCCCGTGGGTTCGAGACCCGCCTGGGCAGCGAGACCTCATCTCTACAATAAATCAAAAAATCAGCCGGGTGCAGTAGTGCGTGCCTGTAATTCCGGCTACTTGGAAGGCTGAGGTGGAAGGATCACCGGAGCCCAACAGGTCGAGGTTGCGGTGGCCGGGAGCGGCCACTGCACTCCAGTCTGGGCGACAGAGTGAGACTCCAACTCCAAAAAAAAAAGCTATTTCTGCCAAGTTAACATCATGGTCTACTTCTAATGAAAAAATACATGTTTTTATGCTAAGAAAAGGTTGGAAGATGGATAGAGCAGATGTTCCTTCTCCCCTACAGCTGCTGAGGGAAGAGATAACTTTCTACGTTATAAAATAAGCAGTCTGGTTAAGTGAAGAGTTAAACTGAGAACTTTCACAAGAATTTCAGTCCAATTCTGTGCAATGTGAGATAAGTGACGCAAAACTTGCACTAACTGGCTCTGTTCTGGCTAATGTAATTTTGTTCTTAGAAGAGTTATTTTAACAAAGGGGAGTTGTTATATTTTTTAAAACTTTAAAGGTTGTTGCCCTTTCTTGGGAAAATAACTTCATTATCTGTGTTGATAATTTTTTACGTTGGTGATACTATTGAAAATCATTTCTCTATATTTCTAAAAGTTATAAAATGACTTGTAAGATTTATCTGACAGTTAATAATTTTCTTTTTCTTCCACATGCATAAAGAAGTATTTGTAATAGCTTCTATTTTTTTTTTTGGCATACATTATTGGTTTATTACATGGGTCACTATTAGGGTACTGGACAGGGTGAGGGAAAATGGATGGAGCAAGGGGCGCAGCACCGCCAGAGCCAGCAAGCTGGAGGTGCCTTGCAGGGAACCCAGAGATCCGAGTAGATGCAAAGAATTGCAACACACAAAAAGGTTAAGAAAAAAAAAGTTTATTTAAAAGTAGATTAGAATCCGGGCTCGGTGGCTCAGCCTGTAATCCTGCGCCTTTGGGAGGCTGAGGGGAGTGGATTGCCTGATCCTGCAGGTTCAAGATCCGCCTGGGCAATTTGGCGAGACCTCATAAATCAAAAAATTAGCCAGGTGTGGTAGCACATGCCTGTAATTCCGGCTACTTGGAAGGCTGAGGCGGAAGGATCGCCGGAGCCCAGCAGGTCGAGGCTGCGGTGGCCGGGAGCGGCCACTGCACTCCAGTCTGGGCGACAGAGTGAGACTCCAACTCAAAAAAATTAAATTAAATTAAAATAAAAGTAGATTAGAGAGAGAAAGAGAAGGAAGAAAGAAGATTCACCTCCCCAAGGTGGGGGAGGGAGACCAAAGCCAGGAAGCATGGTGACAGCCATGGCTCAAAGAGCACATGGCCACACCAGACTCTAGCAAGGCAATGGCCACTGGGTGCTTGTGATTGAGTCCTTTTAACCATTCCCTTTGATGGGGGAAGATCATTAGGTGATTGGGTGGTGGTTTGCTTCCATGTCATCACAAAGGAGCAAACAAATGCAGGTACTGACCTCAGGTGATGAACAGCAGGTAGATGGGGGGGTTAGCCACATGATTGCTGCCATGGTGGGGCTTATCTGTGTCATGTAGTTCACAGAGGGCTGATTATGTTAACCCTAGGGTGGGAGGATTCCTGCAAGAGACTTGTTAGACATTTGCAATTCACAAACTCAGACATTTGCAACTCACAAACTGTTATGACTTTGGCCTTGACAAGGAATCAGAAGTTTACTAGAGATTATTATGCTAAACCATGAATGGTTGGGCTGTCCTGATCTTGTATCTGAAGATTTGCCAAGGGGGATGGGATAGGCTGCGGTTTGTCCTGCAGTAGAATGTCTGAATGCTTTCTAATAGTTACACTGAGACAAAAAGCTAAGTTTCTTCTAGGTTTCTATAGGTTCCTTTCAGTTACATCTTGGACGACAGTTCCCCAACACTGTAGACTGTCCCTGAGATGGTGTCTTATCTGAGCCTGTAATGGATTCCATAAGTTGGAAAATTCTTGAGCGTGGGTACATGGAAAGCTGATCACTATACTTTCTTTGAGATACATGGATATCTTTGTCCCAGGCTGTGTGGGACATGATATCAATATGTCATACATTCTTCAGATGGGTGTAGTGGTACATGCCATGTTCTAGCTACTTGGGAGGCTGAGGTGGAAGGATCGCCTGAACCCAGCAGGTTGAGACTGTAGTAGCTGTGAGTGTGCCCCACTGCACAGGGTGACAGAGTGAGATTCCAAAGTTCTGGAGGCTGGGAAGTCCAAGATTGAGGGACCGGCATCTGGCAAGGGCCTTGTTGCTGTGTTATCCTGTGGGAGAAGGGCAAAAACAGAGAGGAAGAGAGGGGGAAGGGAAGACGAGGAGGAAGAGAGAAGACAGAAGAGCATCTTCTATTTCTTAAAATTAACAAATTATTTTTTCTGAAAGCTTAAAATATATATTTTTTAATAGACTTCCTTTTTATAGAACAATTTTAGGTTTATAGTAAATTGAGCAAGTACAGAGTTCCCACATACACCCTTTTCCATACTTCAGTCTCTTCTATTATTGACAACTTGCATTAGTGCTCTACAGTTGTTGCAACTGATGAACCAATATTGATAGCATTTTATTAACTAAAATCCATCGTTTACATTGGTGTTCACTCATTGTATAAAGTTCTATGCGCTTTTTCAAATGCATGATGTCCACCATTATGTAATATACACCATTATAGTAGCATGCAGAATAGTTTCATGGCCCTAAAAAATCTCTGCTCCACCTCAGATAATTTCTTCTAAGTTAACACTGTGTGGTGAGAGTTCCTTCTTCTCCAACCGCCCCTCCCAACCCCGTTGTCCTTCATGGAAATGAAATGAGCTTTTATCCATCTCTCTGTCTCTTTTTCATTGTTTGTGTATCTCTCTCCCACATTTGTAAGGTCTTTAGAGAGCCAGCCACCTGGTCTCCTGATCATATTCCTAAAGGTGAGTTTCAATAATTTAATCCATATTTATATACTCAGATATAGCATCCAGGCAGTGGCCTGTTTTCCCTGTCTTTATTTTGTCACCTGCTGTGATATGTAGAGATAAGTCCTCCCCCACCTTCTACCTGGGATGGTCTGCAAGGAATCTATCTAACTTGAAGAAGACTGAACCCAGAAAACAGACTGTGTGAGCATTTCCATACCAGGAGGTGGTCTGAGAATTAGTTTTGGAGTAAGATGGAAGGAGAATGGTGTGGAGTGTCCTTTCTTTAGGAAAATGTGTCTAAAGTCAAAAGCTCACTCTGGTTAAACACCCTCATTCTCTGGTAACATAAAGGCCTCTAAAAATATATGCAGAATATTTAGGGTAACTGTATCATTTATTGTCCAAGTTAGAGCACTTCTGAGAGTAAAAAGGAGTGTTATTAATGATTATACTAGGGTAGTAGTTGTAAATCAAGTCACTCTACTATTAGACCAAGTAATTTTCATGCCATAAAATGTCTCTTGACATTCATTTTTTTATTGTAAGAATAACTCTCTTTCTCTCACCCATTCTTTTCTAGTCATAATGTTACCATACCCAGAATACACCTATGTAATGTCTGGCATCCTTCTCAATTCTTTTTCTTAAAAAAAAATTTTTTTGGTCCTGCAGTGTGCCTCATACCTTTAATCCCAGCACTTGGGGAGGCTGAGGTGGTAGGATTGCCTGAGGCCAGGAATCCAAGACCAGTCTGAGCAACATAGCCAGATCTGGTTTCTACAAAAATTTTTAAAATTTAATTTTTTTATGGTATCTGAATTTGCATTTTTTAAAAAAATGTTTTTGTTTTCTAAGAACTTTTTTTTTCTTTGAGTCAAAGTCTCTCTGTGCTGCCCAGACTGGAGTGCAGTAGTATGCTCTCAGCCACTGCAGTCTCAACCTGTTGGGCTCAAGGGATCCTTCTGCCTTAGTCTTCCAAGTAGCTGGAACCACAGGCATGCATCACCATGCCTGGCTAATTAATTTTTTTTAATTTTTAATTTTTATTTTTTTTTGAGTTGGAGTCTCACTCTGTCGCCCAGACTGGAGTGCAGTGGCCGCTCCCGGCCACCGCAGCCTCGACTTGCTGGGCTCCAGCAATCCTTCCGCCTCAGCCTTCCAAGTAGCCAGAACTACAGGCGTACGCTACCACGCCCAGCTAATTTTTGATTTATTGTAGAGATGAGGTCTCGCCAAGTTGCCCAGACGTGTCTTGAACCCGCGGGCTCAGGCAATCCACTTACCTCAGCCTCCCAAAGGCACAGGATTACAGGCTGAGCCACCAAGCCCGGCTATAATTTATTTTTAATTATTGTAGAAACCATGTCTTACTAAGCTGGATCAGTAGAACTACCTTATGTCTCGGTGGCACTTTTACTTTTTGACCCCTCAGTAATTCAGTCTCCCTAAAAAAGAAGTCAAGGGGCGAGTATGGCGAGGGAAGAGAAGGATATGGCTAATTTCACATTAGCTTTTCAGTTTAGAGCCGTTCAATATGAAAACGGAATTGTTTCCATTTTAATTCCTGTTCCCAGAGTGCCTTATAAAGTACCAAGGGAAATAATGACTGATGTAAGGCACACCCCATTTTGGTTCTTCCCTCTTCTTTATATAAACTCATCTCTACCTCTGAAGGAAGGAAGGGAGGGAGGGCGGAAGGGAGGGAG